TTCTTGTGAGTATTGCCCTGGAATGTGGAACGAAGGAGCAGTGTTTGTTTGCCGGACAGGAATGTGCGGCAGAGAAAAGCTCCTCTGTAACTGGGCACTCTGGGAGCTGTCGTAATCTGGCATAATATTTCCACATAATTTGCTCTCTATGGATTTTCAGGGGTGGAATATTGGTTTTAATTTTTAAGTTTATGATTGGGGTGGTTTTTCTGCACCCTGTGGCGATTCTGAGGCAACTGTTTTGGAGTACATCCAATTTGGTTAAGTGTGATTGAGCAGCAGATGCGTAAAAGGGAGAAGCATAGTCAAGTCTGCTACGAAGTAAGACCCTGTATAGCTTCAACAGAACTTGGCGATCAGCACCCCAGTGTCTGTGGGATATAGATTTCAGGAGGTTAAGAATTGGTAGGCATGATGTTCTCAGCATTTCAATGTGAGGTTTCCACCTGAGGCAAGGTGCATCCAGCACAACCCCAAGGTATCTATGTTGCTGAACAATTTCCAGGTTGTGTCCGCTGGCTTTGATGGGAAGTGGGTGGATTTTCTTACTGGTGAAGCACATAGTTTTAGTTTTTTCCAAGTTTAACTTTAGACCCCAACCGTGCGTCCATTCAACAAATGAGTTTACTTGGGCTTGTAGTAAATTGCAGCATACTCTGCGGTTGAGATGCCAGGAGTAGAGGGCATGTCACTCATCATAACGTTGAACAAGGTAGGGGACAGTATTGCGCCCTGAGGCACTCCAGATTTGATAGGTTTGGTAGATGAGTATTCCCCTTCAAAAAGGATTTTGAAGGTCCTGTCACTGAGGTATGCCTGAAACCATCTCAGGAGTGAGCCCTGTATTCCACAATGACTTAGCTTATACAGAAGGCCTGTGTGCCACACCTTATCAAAGGCACTACTGAGGTCAACAAAGCAGACCAACAATACGGACTTTGTGTGCAAGGCACTATGGATGGCAGCTTCCAGTCTGGCCACTTGATCAACTGCTGACATGCGGCAACAAAATCCTCCTTGGGAATGGCGCAGGGCCTGTTTCTGCTCAAGGAAGTATGTGAGGCATTTATTTATCATTGCTTCCATCAGCTTTCCAACACACGACAGTAAGGAGATGGGTCTGTAGGAAGAAGTTCTTGTCAGAAGTTTACCAGGTTTAGGTATGGGGATGATCACGGCTTCCTTCCAAGCTCCAGGAACAGTGCAGGTTCTCAGGCTCTGATTAAATATCTCCAGTAGCCAGGTGCGGAACTCTAGAGGGAGGTGAACAAGGTGTTGGTTGTGCACCCGATCAGAGCCAGGAGATGTACTCTTCAGTGAATGCAGTGTTCTAATTCATGCAGTTGAAATGGCGCATTGAGAGGCGAGTCAATCTCCTCATTCAGGGCCACTGCTAGCGGAAGTGTGACGTGCCTGGGGTAGGGGGATGGCACAGGTGATGACAACACGTTTTTGTACTGAGATGCAAGTGCATTTGCTTTGGAAGAGGAGTCAGAGATTATTGTGGAGTCTGACAAAATAAAGGGCTGAGTTTTCCTCTGGAATGGCGTTTGAAGTCGCTTTATTTTCCTCCATAATTCTGATATCGGTGCATCTGAGGTGATAGTGCTACAGTACTTCATCCAGGAGGCTCTTTTTGCAATTTTTACCTCTCTCTTAACCAATGCTTCATTGTGCTTGAAATTGATTAGGTTAGCTTGTAATGGATGTGCAATTAGAGCATGCTTGGCAGCTCTTTTTGACTCCACTGCTTTAGCGCAAGCTTGGTTCCACCAGGGCTTGTTGTATCGCGGATTGATAAATTCTTTAGTCTGAGGAAAAGATGTTGTACTTGCTGAAATGATTGCATTGGTCATGTTATGGTTGCTCACCTCTATGTTGTTGTTTGGATGAATACCATGCTGAAGTAGAGCAGCAGTCCATGCAGCCCAAGAACCCTCACTAAATTTCCAAAAGAGGTGAGTCCGATAGCGCACAGTGCAGGCCCTGATTCCAATGCAGGTGACCACAGGATAGTGGTCACTACCCATGTCCTCCTCAGGGTAGACTGTTGATAAAGGAACAAGATCAGCTGTTATGAAGGACAGGTCAAGTGTTGAGAAGGAGTTGTGGTAAGTGTTGAAGTAAGTAGGCAGAGATGGTGGGGTTAACAGAGCTATGGATGGTTTCATCAGAACTGACTCATATAAGTTTCTGCCAGTTGCATTTGCTGGCTTTCCAGGCTCCCAGAGTGGGTTATGAGCATTTAAGTCTCCAACTATGATGCAAGTTGGAGCAAGTTGGTTGAAATAGTGTGTAAATTCTTGGCAGGTCACAGTTTTGTTTGGATTGTAGATATTGAGAACAGACATGGGTTTATTTCCTTGCAGGAAAACAGTTAGCCCCTATGAGTTCTAATTTACTTTGAGAATAAGGATTTAGGACAAAACTGACAAAAGGAACGTCGCTGCAGACAAGGATGGCAAGGCCCCCTCCTGCATTGTTGGCATCTCTGTGTTTATATATAGCTGAATAGTTTACGAAGTTTGGTTCAAATGATGAGGAAAGCCAAGTTTCTGTTAGGCAAACAATGTGAGGCTTAGTACAGCAATCCCTTGATCAACGCGGTTAATAAATCCCCGAGTTTTACCGTGTTAAGCAAAACCGCGCTAATCAAACTTAAGAATATATGGGAATAATTATAATGAATCCTCAAAAATAGCAAAGGAAAGGAAAATTATGTAGCTTAATAAAAGTGAGCAGTAGATATGGCAGAGATCTTGGCCAGTTGAAGGCTAACGAGTAACTAGCCCTTTACGCACTGAATTATCTTTCAAAAGTGAAAAAACAATCTGAATTACTTTTCAGATCACGCGCAGTCTTTGTGTTGTACTGGCAGTAGCAGCTCGCCTAATCCATCGAACGTCGTTCGAACGAGTTCACAACATGTGACGCTATCGTCACACTCGCGGCTAGACTCCAAACATGTAATTACTCTCGGTAGAAGCTTTTATTTTCTGTGTGACGAATTCGTCACACCAGGGCTTAAAGGGCTAGAGCACCGGCATGGCGCACTTACCGGCGAACGTTGCCGAACTCNTAACATGCTGCTCAGCACGTTGGCTAGCCTTGGTTAGGCATAAGTTAAGTGTAAAGTTTACTGTAAGAAAAAGAAGTTTTTCTATTTATTTTGAAAGTTTGTGTTTTAAAATGGAACAAATAGTTTTTGTTTTGGTTGTGAAAAAGGAATTTGAATGTATAGGAATAAAGGAAAATTGGGACCAAATTACAGAAAACATCTTCTATTTTACATCTACATCATCAACAAATGAAGAAGAGGACTTCAGAGTACTTTTTGTAATGGGTGAGTACAGTGTGCATGCTGTAAACGTGTTTAAATTAAGTTTTATTACAAGTGTCCCGAATTGCCCCGTTCGACGGGCCAATTCGGGACACTCTTTTTTTGCTTCTGGCACCTTAGGAATAGCATATGGAATTTTTTTGACAATGCCATTCGATAGCCCTCGCAAAGAGCTATAAAATGAGCCTAAACTTGTTTATGAAATGTTTCATTGTAAGAAGTTATTAACAAAAAACGCTCAAAATCGTCCCAAATTACCCCGGTTGACGGTAGTTAAAGACTACATAGATATTAGAATAAATAAAGATAAATCAATTAGGTAAATTAATTAGATAAAGATAAATAATTAGATAAAGACTACTTATAAGAATTAGCTAAGCTGCTAGCTATGTACAATGTATTGCAACACTTGATGGCTGATGCCTGTGTACCAAAAACATTCAATTTATTGGAACCTAATACACACTAAAGGCAACAAGTTTATATACCTATTTGTCATTCTAAGTAAATTCATACTAAACCATGAATAACAATACCTTAAGATAAATTAAAGACTGCCACTCAATATATTTATATATATAAAAAATCAAAAAAATTAAAAAAAAATCCCGATTTTTTATACAAAAATCAAGTGATTTAATCATATGATTCAATCATTTTGATTTAATCATTGCCAACCCTGAATGTAACAAAACCTAATTCAACCCAACTGATCCCAACCCAAACAAATTCAACCAAACTCAATCCAATGCAATCCTAACCAATTTAACCTAAGCCATTACAACCCAGCCCAATTGATCCCAATTCAAATCAACCCAATCCTTCCCGATGTAACCCAACCAAAATTAACCCAACCCAATCTAAGCAAACCCAACCAAAACCAATTCAATCCAACCAAATTCAATGCCGCCTAACTCAATTCAACCAAAATTAAACTAAGGTCAACCCAATCAACCATATTCAACCAAAACCCATTCAACTCATCCCAACTGGATCGACACAATTCAATCACACCAAACTCAATTCAACCCAATTCAACATAATTTATTTCCACCTAATTCAATTCGACCCAAATCAAATCATTCCAGCCCAATTCAAGCCAACCTAATTCAGTAAAATTGAATAGACTGATTGAGAAGTTATGTGAACATATTAGAACACATCAAGTTTTTATTTTATTGCATAGATTTCATTACAATGCATTAGAATGCACTAGAATGCATTAAATTGAATTATGGACATTAGATTTCATTAGGTTACATTATATTGACTTAGAATGTATTAGATTGCATTAGGTTACANAAACACTAGAAAGCAAACGAAGGCCAGTCTACGTCGACGACGAGCCAGATTTATCATTCATTGCCAGCTCGTGGACGTTGTAATTAGTGTTGGTGCGCTCCCACCACTCATTAGTCAATATTAAACTTTCAAACTCCCATCTTCTTTTCTCACCTTCGCCTTCAAACCAACCAAAGCCATTACGTATCAAAAATTAATGAGGTATCAGAACATTTATAAATCCACACACATGTTGTAAGTCAGGGGACCTTTTATAGTTCAACCATGAGTTACTCGCATAGACGCATACTATTAATTATTATTAATAAACTCACTAACTCACTTATTACACTTGATGTATAGGTACATTAAATTTAAATTACGGTAACAATTGCTTTACTTTAATAATTGCTCGCAAGATACTTAATGGCGAATAGTTTGCATAATCACGTGACCTCGAAAAGTACAATGAGATGAGACAGCCAAAACGAAGGATCCTTATGTGCTAGCAAAACACAACAGCAACAACAGTTTCGGCCCTAATGCAGGTGCACACAAACATGATACTCTTACGTTCTTTTTCGAATTTTGCTACATTTTGTTATTTCTTCACTCTCACATAATTTGAAAAGAAGATAAAATTTATACGCAAAATACTTGGACACGAATAGAATCAAAGTAGAGCGGGCTGCCTACTAACGAGGTCGGTAGCATTCGCTTTAAGATCTGAATGTGAACCTTCCATACTGGCTGAACTTAGATTTCGTCAGGTGCAAGCACTTGGTCTGGCTCAAGGGCTTTGGCAATTTGAAACACTTCAAGTTATGGGCCCCATCAAGCATATGCTTTGTCTAGACCACGGGTTTCGTTAAGCAAGGCTTTTTTAAGCCCCAGAGCTTCGTATGGCCCCAAAGACACTCCTCCTCCAGGTTCTAGGACCACGTGAGGACAATATTATAGGCAGGACAAGGATTTCAGGCCTCGTCGGGCTCCAGCACACCGTCGGCGCGCAGCATCTCAGCAATGAGTCGCGCTCGCTCGTTCTTCCTCCTCTTCTCCATGTCGGCAAGAGCTTCGTAGTCGCGCTTCGCCGTGTCACTAGCGGCTTTCCCTTCAGCAGATTGACTAGGGGCGGGTTCTGACGCTGAGTGCTTCAGCTCGCTGACAATCATAGGGCAATCAGGCAATCCCTTCTCGTACTGCAGCGCCATCTCCTGTCAATACAATGCAATTAGTCAATAATTTTTCGACTAACTTTAAAAGTGTAATGCATTGTGATTGGAGCCAACCACCGAAATTCTTTCCCTAGTGAATATATACGGTTGAATTTGAATATTTTCGCTCAATTTATCCCTGATTGTTTTTTAATACCTAAAAGCAACAAGATCAAGTACCTTGATGGCATAGTTTCATCCGTAATATATTAAATGAAATTTTGAAAATCAAAATGGAGAAAAACAATCAATGCTTTCAAAAGAATAGTCAATGATCAACTAATCAAAAACGTTAAAGGAAGCTATAGCTATCACAATCAAGGTTCATGCTATAATAAAATGCACAGTAAAATCCAGCTAATCATGAAAAAGAGGAAACGTTTTGTTCAATAAATTATGACGAATTCATATGACATATGTGTTCATATGACAATGAATGTGTTCATATGACAGAATGTTTAAACGAATAAAATTATATCGCGGTAATACGTTACAATTAACAAGATTGCACTGTACAGGGAACTCACAGCGCCACTCTTGTCCATGTAGTCGATCAGAGCTGAGCCCTTGCTGCCCTTCTGCTTCACCACGACCGCGTTGATGTCTCCCCACTGCACACACAATCATCACTTATTTGACTCCTAATTTTGCTTATTTTTACTTTTGAACAGATGCCGTATGTCAACAACCTGATAACCAATATAGTGTTTGGAGCAAAAGAGTCAATAGAGCAAAGCACACAGTAGTAAGTTTTCATAGAGAGATGTAAATCAATATTCATGATTTGAAGTCGTCAACAAAGTATTGTCTCGTGAACATAAAGTTCTTTGATTATTGAACGAACAAATCTACAGACATTACCTTATACAAGAAGTTGTATAACTGATCTATGGTGTAGGGCATACATTAAGGCTTTCAATTATAAAAGAAACAAATCTCCAGACACTACCTTATAGAAGTGGTTGAATATCATGTCTTTGGTGTAAGGCGTAGCGGACTCCGGCGTCACCCAGCGCACCTTCACTCTGTAGCTGCTCTCTGCAGCAGCCTTACTTCTGCCATCTGGCTCTCCTTGAAGACGACTTCTTGCTGGAGAAACATTTTGTTAAGGAAATATAAAGCGTAACTGGAGATATGAACAACTTTTTTCATGTTTGTTTGAATTTAATTTCTTTATATAATAACTAATGTATATAGCTTCCAGGCTAAACAAGAATTTGATGTAAATGTCAGGTTTGAGCAATGACAGGTAAACGAGCAAACTTATAAAATATTCTTCTACAAAGAGAATTTACAGCAATAAAACTACAATAAATCTTTTGCTAGAAAGTAATACAATCTTTTGATGATGGCATCTTATACTTCCAGTCATTGAGTGCAGTTGGGACGACTCACCTCTCAGCCGCTCCTCCTTAGCCTCTCTCTCCAGCCGTATTATTTCCTCTGCAATGATTTGTTCTCCTTCCTTTTCCAATCGCTGCAACTCGCGCTTGAATCTAAAAGATTAATTGTATATGAATAGCAGTCAACAGGGAATGATTACTCATCTATTATCTATTGTTACTCAATGATCATTACAATGGAATAACACAAAAAAACTAATGCAGTACACATGAACAAACTTGGCGTTGTACCAAATATGAATCTATTATATTTTTACAGATTAAGAGAGTCATTCACTTGAATTATCTCAGCTCTTGCACGATATAAAAAATTATCTAGTCAATTAAACAAAAAATAATTTCCTATGAATGAACAGCAGATAACAAAAAAAGAAAAAATTTCCCACCGTTCTTTATCTGAAAGATTATCCTTGACAAGAGCTGCTTCCCGCTCCCTGCGTTCTAGGTCATGTTTCAGTTTCTGATTTTGAGCGCTGGTTTGTCTTGCTCTAACAGCAGCTAATTTCCGGCCTCTGAGAACCTTGTCATACGCAGCTCTGGTGCCTGTAAGTAGATTATTTAGTCAGCCACTAAAAAAGAAACACTGGCGTATGTGGTAGTTATAATCCTCAAATAATTTGCATGAATTAATGCATGTCAATTTTATGTGGGATGGGTAATATATCTATATGAATTGGTGAAAATTCTCAGGGTTCTAATTGAGAGTAGGTGCAAGATGTTCAACATCATGAACAGTCTGTCAAGAGTAAAGTGTTCATAAAAATACTTGAAATAAATATTTGATATGAGCAAACACTTGTAGCACTTTGCCACTTGTGCAACATACAGTGGGGGGAAATAAATATTCGTACACTTGAAAAATCGTATTTTAATGTATGTAAGTACACAAACTTAACAGGAAAAGTGATTTAAATTATGTATAGAGATGCATAGTTTTCAAAAATACTATCAAAAGAAATTAACAGGAATAGGAAGTTATTTTAGTGTCAATTTTATAAAAACGTAAATTTCACACAGACAAAATATATAATAATGAAACAGCTTGCACACACATTCAGCATATAAGATCAATAGATCTGATTAAACAAATAATTAATGAAATTACTCACTAGGGTCCAAGAGCACCTCTAGGATTTTCTTAAGCCTGTCAAATTCAGCAGCAGCAGCAGGGTTGTCAGGGTTCTTGTCAGGATGGCAGCTCAAAGCCTTTTTCCTGAAGGATTTTTTGACCTGTAAAATTTGAACGTTTGTGAGATGCCACAAAACATACATTGAATGAGTGAACAAGAAGTCTTAATTATAGAATATAAATACTAATAATCACACTTTTATTCCATCTGGACCAACAACTCGACTAAAATTTTTTTACCAGGATGATCTTCATTAGGTTCATATTACCATGATGTATACCGGTACTTGGAACATGTACTTCATGTTTTTTAACACATTTTCCAGATAAATAATTAAAATAACCCAAGCATTGGGAAGTCTTTCTAAGAATACTCAAGTCAACAAGAGAGCAATTTCCAGAAATGTGACTAAATCATTTTATTCACTAAATGATCATATTAATTAAATTGCAATCCACAATTGCAATATAATTAATATTTTTTAAATGTAATTTTGAGTTGACCTGGTTTCCTTTCTGCTTGTCTAATTTCCTCCATGATTAGGTTGTTAGGCAATCAAAACAATCTAACTAATTGGCATGATGATAAAATATCAGTCAAATACGTATACAAAATATCAAGTGATGTGGTTACAACTCCAGGTGTTAAAGAACCTGGAGCTGGAAATACTACTCTATACCTACTTCCTGTACAATGGAGCCACAAGATTTAAAATTTACCCAAAATACATGAATTTGGAGCCACAATATACAGGTAATGAGTGGGCCCAGTGGGGCTTTTCCAATATTGGATTATCCATCTTGAACATATGACCAACATTCCCAAAATTCTGCCCTCATGCAGAAAGTGGACAAGTATGTATCCCAGTATTACTGAGCAACACACCAGGATCCAAATTTTGTGCCATATGAAGTCTTGACAATGCAGTTGCCTTTAAAGCAGACTCTAAATTAAGGCATTTAAGGTCAAGATAGTTGCATCCTTTAAGCTTTCCATCCAGTCAACTTGATCTTAAAGTAGCTTCCAAGTTTAGCTGCAGGTCCAATCACAAGCAATCAATTACTCTTGAATTCAATGTGGAATTCAGGAAGAGTAGGTAGTTATTGAACTTTTACAGTTGTATTGTACCTAAAAATCTAAAAATAGATTTACCTGCTATAAATTGGATGATATTTTGAAACTGATCAAGTGTAAGGTTGGATTGATTGGCTATATTACGGTATGTAAATTGATAATAAATTGCAATCTATGGCAGGTGTTATCTCCTGCAACAAAGGTTTTTATCCCAGGGTGCAGAGAGCAAACAAATATCTTAAGATTTTTGGCACAGTATCAAAATCTATGCCTTTTGAAGAGCTTACCTACACATTTCTTATTAAATATCTCTCTACCTCTATTTAATTTCTCAATAAATATTTCTTTAAAAAACCTTTTTACACCCAAGAAATCTTGAAGATTAAGGTAGTTTTGGCAACAAATCCTTCATAGCAGTAGCAACATTTCAAGCCTAAAAACTTGACCTTGATTATGATAATGCCAGACCTGGCTTAGTAGTCTACCTAGAAAATAGGATAGAAGCTACCCATGAATGAGATAAAGAGCCCTGTGATTGCATAAAATTTTATATGACTTTACAGCTCTTTCCCAATTACTTTCATGTGAAATAAGAATAATAGTAGATTTTTGCATATAATTTTCAAAAAATGAGTCATAGATTGACTGTTAAAACCCATGATTTTTGCCTGAAATTTTCAAAATCACCCAAGAAATAATCATTTTTAACCATTATTTTTGGATAATTTAGCTCTATATTCCAAATTGGCATAGTGTATACGTTAAAAATTTTCCTAAAATTAATAACAAAATATAATATTAATGAAAATAATAATAACACTTTAAGATAAGAAATTATCATATGCACTATTACCATTTATAACAAAGGAAATTAACAAATAAAATTACTTGAAATTTCATGTCTCCAACAAAGTTGATCCAGAAAATGTCTCAATAAGGTCATTTCAGAGCAAATTTGGAATATTGGGCAGAAGTTTCCAAGAATCGTAAGCAAAGATGATAGTTTCACAGGTAATTTTTTAAAATTGCTGGTGGAAATAGGCAATTTTTCTTATTTTTATCATTTTTATGGCAGAAATCAGAAAAAAATAATAGGAACTCATGGTATTGGCCAGATTCATAGGCGTTCCTATGATTCATTCTCACTTCTGCCTGCTTTTCCATTTGCTTTCAGTGCCTTGCTACCATCTTGTATTCTACTAAAAAACTGCTTACATTCAAAGACAAGCAAATTAGGGTCAATTAATTTATGAAAATGAATTCTTTAAACAATTAAAATCATAATGTTCTGAAAATATTCTAGAACCTTAAAAACACAATGACAAAGCTTTAAATAGTATTCATTCCAATATATTATAAAACTTACTTCAGCATCAGTGGCTTCAATTCCAATTCCAAGAATTTCATAAATATCCAAATCAAGAATCTCTTTGCATTTTGATGACATCTTGATTAAAATTAGAAGTTCGTTATGAAAGGACAAGTTTTTGGAATAAAAAAAATCCTGAGAAGAGAAATTAACAAGTTGACAAATTAATGTGTTGCACTTGCAGTATTGCCTTGCCAAAGGCAAAAATGGCAAGGCCTAATGCAATGCATAACTCCAGTCTCCTGAGACCAGACTCGTGAGCAGTCAAGCTGGTTATTATGTGAACAGCATAAATGATATCTAGTTTGTATGGCATAAAGCTGTATAAACTAATACAAAATTTTTACTACCTTATCTACATAAGATTTAACCTGATATCTTATGTACCATCAAATAGGGTAATAAGGGATGGGCAGGGTAAATCGGGACAGTTTTCCCACATTTTGTAGAAATGCGATAAAAATAAAATAATAAAAATATTGCAAAACAAAAAATAGCGGCCTAAAGTTCAACATTTATACTATCTATGTAGCATAAAGCAAGTTGGGAAATCATACATTTACTACATCTAAAAAATTTCCCAATAAAAGCGTAAAAAGTGAGATTTTGGAAAAGTACCTGTGCTAAGGTCTGTAGAAAGAAATATTTGCTGGATTAAAAAATTTTACTTGCATTAAAGTTGCACACAGGTGTTGGCTTAAAAACGTGACAGTTCTAGTGATGTCAAATTTACTTTGACCGGCGGGGTAACTTTGACCACTTTTCGTTTTTTTAACAAAAACCCCCAAAACTCAAAAACGATTTGACATCAGAAAATTTTGTCAATGGCCATCAAAAGCCTAATACTGAGACTACATAACACAATAGAAAGATTTAAAAAGTTTGCATATCTAATAGGTTAAAAAATTAATAATGTGACCCACGAAAAAGAGCTATTATTTAAAGCCTGTCAGAGTACCCCCTATTAAAAAATTTTACTTGCATAAAAGTTGCACACAGGTGTTGGCTTAAAAACGTGATTGATGGAATTTGTATATCTCATTCCAAAAAACATGGCGACCACTTCCACAAGATGGCGTTATAAGGGGTAACCTTAAAAACGCATTTACAGTACAACCTCAATTATCAAAGGCTCCAGTTAATAAAAATCAATTGACAAAAAAAATTTACATTTACCTTAATCATGGAAACAAATTTCACTCGACAAAAAATTACTGCATCATTGCCTTCATTGGGCATTACAAAATTGTGAATAGAATGTCATAGAAATAATTGTGCACCAGGCAACATAGAATGAAAAGTAAAATATGATTTATTTCTTCAAAAAATATGATGGTTGTCACTAAAAGATCACTTTCTGTTTCAGGTATGTTACAATCTTTTTGTGTTATAGTGAATTCACTTGACCTAATTAAAATGGTGTAAAATTACAAGCCCAGTCCTGTAAGATCACAAGTTCAGAAGTAATGCTATATGGCTGCTGATATGAAGCTTGCAGTACACAAAGTTGAACATTGTCAATGCTCATTGGCAGGATGGATGCTGTACATTAAAACAATTTGTATTTCCTTCCTATTCCTTAGGATTAAGGCAATGAAAGAAGTGATTTTTTCTAGACTAAATTGAAATGTTATTTGTTTAAATGTTGAATTGAGGAAACATAGTAATTCCATGAGAACGTTCAAGATCTGTTATGAAATCCATGCAACTGCTGTCCTGTGTAATTCCATGAGAATTGTTAATTATGGTATGCCTGTTCATTACCGTGAATTTCCAGCCGCACTGAAACATATAGTATAAATTCTCATTCAAAACTCTTATGCTGCCCTCCAATCAAAATGAGGATCCTGTTTGCCAATGCCAGCAGGCATGCCTGGCATGGGATATATCTACTTGGTCCAGACTGTATAGCATGGCACAACATAGGTTGAGGACAATTTCATGCACCCAGATGCCGAGGTGGATGCCATTGGACGCCGGTCGCCAACTATGCTATACATTTGAGCACCAAAGCATACACACTCATAGCCACTTGAACTATGCACTATAGCATGCAGTTCTGATGGCTGTGAGTGTATATATGAGGCTGAGCACTGAAGCATATGCGCTCAGAGCCACCGTAACTATGCACTGTAGCACGCAGTTCTGATGGCTGTGAGTGTATATATGAGCACCCAAGCATACGCGCTCTGAGCTACCTAAACTACTCAATGTAGCGTGCAGTTCTGATGGTTCTGTGTGCGCATATTTGAGTGCTTACTTTGAAAGAGTCTCACATCACTGATGACGGATAACAAAGCATCTTGTGATAAATCATTTCAAATAATAAGACAACATCATTAGTCTAGCCACCTGAACTATGTGACATAGTGGGTACCAAATCCAAACCCAGGTCACCAAACCTAACCCTGCGCAACCCAAACCAAGCAGGCCAATTCAACCTCACCCAATTCATCCCAACTGAAATCAACCCAACCCAACCTAACTGAACCTAACCCAATGCAACCAGGGTTGGTGGTTTTTTTGATTTAAAAAAAAATAAAAAAATAAAATATCAATGATTTATTTTTATTTTTTCATGATCTTTTTTTATTTGATTTTTTCAGTTTTTTTGTCTTCTTGAAAGGTTATTTTTTATGTTGCAATTAGCCTACTAACAATAACAGTATGTAGATTATAATGGATGGCTAAAAAGGGACTTATTACCTTCAACAATGACCAACAGGCCAAGGTGGTGCTTACCACTTTGGGAATTTTGGGTAAACAATTATTGATAAGTCTATTCATTAGCTTTGTAAAGTTTGTATGGAGCAAGGTAACAAGCTAAATATTGACCATTTAACTGGCTGCAATACACAGAAACACTTCATGAATACAGATCTTCTAAACATTGAAGAGTCACACAACAGATACTGAGATAGGTAGCTGCTAGCACAGTGCACAGCACTACCGTCAACCGGGGCTACTCGGGACGGTTTTGAGCGTTTTTTGTTAATAACTTCTTACGATGAAACATTTCATAAACAAGTTTAGGCTCATTTTATAGCTCTTTGCGAGGGCTATCGAATGGCATCTTCAAAAAAATTCCATATGCTATTCGTAAGGTGCCAGAAGCTGTGCTGGAATAAATCCCAGCATTAGCTTAACTATT